GTTTTACAGTAATAATTATTATTTATTAAATACTTAAAATATGTTGTGGACTATTTTAAGTGTTTACACATATTAACATACATATTTCTCATAACCTAATAGGTAGGTGTTATTGTTTATTCGTGTTTTAAAGATGAAGAAACTGAGGCACAGAAAAGTTAAGTAACTTGTCCAAGGTCACAGAGCTAATAGGCTATGGAGCCAGGATTAGAACTCAGGAAGTCTGGCCCCAGAGTCCATACCCTTAACTACTAAATTCACTACTGAACAAAAAGTTGTACCAATTTACACTGGCACCATTAGTAAGTGCAGATGCCATGCTTGATTTTGGAACACTTCTACTTTTTAATTAACACATTCTTATGTAGATCCTAAACTTCCCTTTCTCACCTTAGAGGTAAGGTTAGGAGTTGAAATGGAATAGGACTAACTATTCTCTAATACCGTCTGTCTCCCCATTCCCACACAAGGAGGAATGGGAGTAGAGGTGTGGGCTTAACGCTGTGTCGGTATGGGGTGAACACAACAGAATACTTTGTGCCTATAAACTGGAGCTTTGAAAATTCATTGCCCTGTGCTTATTTCTGCAAAGTGTGCAAAATAATAACAGGTACACTTTACTGAGCATTTCTTATGTACCAAGCATTGTGGTAAGTACTCTGTAGACACTGAGTCATTTGATCATCAGATGGTTATTATTACTCCATTTGGCAACAAAATAGGAAGATGCAGTCACCGTTGACCTGGAGAATGATGCATAAATGTCAGGTAAATTCGATATGAAACTCTCAGGATGGATCACTGGCCCTGGTTCTTGAGTTTACCTTGAATGAATGAGACGGAACTGCCTCACAGTCAGAATCCCTAATGAAACCCGCTCCCACTCCCCTAACAGACGAAAAATAAGTGACTCTACAAACCTGAACTGGGCCCAAATCAGAGACAATGGACATTCTTTGAGGTCCGCTCTGGGATTTTAATTTCAATTCAGTTTAGAGTCAGTGGGGGTTGTTGACCTCCTGCCAGAGCAAATTACAAACCTGGCAAGGAAGAATGTTCATCACAAAGCTGGAAGAGGCGACTGTAGGCCCTGTCACAGTGCTACCAAGGGGGTGTAGGATGCACAGTGCCATGTCTCTGCAGAAGGATGGCCAAGACAACTGGGGACTCCTTCAGTTGCACATTTACTTTTTGCTGTGGCTGCTTAACTAACTCCTAGTGTCAAAACACTGTCATCTATGGATAAGATTCCAGGAACATCAAAGATGGTAAAAAGGGGTCAGTCAGGAAAAGAAATGTGATTACATCAGTAAAGACAAACCAATAGTTTTAAAGACCATCTATTGTTTGAGGGTAGACCCTATAAATAGGAATAGAAGGCTGATTGCACGAATAACTTATTTTCTAACGAGGTCAGATTTGTTCATAGATGGCTGTGCTACTTCTGTTACAAGTAGGAAATGTTCTGGACACTTATTCTGAAATAACCTTACCAGTTGACTTTTCTATTTTTCATCATTGTCAAAATTCAGACTGCCCTGTAACAGTCCTTGACAGATTACAAAGAAAAGCTATATATATATTAGAAGACAGTTGGGGTCCTATTACTCAAAATCCATACACAAGAAGTCTGCTAGGATCAGACCAGATGTGTTTGGAAAGCTTTGCAAACCCATGGAGGAACGCAGGCTTTCTCTGGAAGGGCACAGCTGGTGTGACCCTTTCCAGCTGTCCTATTGGGCAACCCAGACGGGGGCGAGTGCAACCCGGTGAAGCTGAGCTGAAGCTGGGATGAGAGCAGATGTGGCTTAAGTTCAGGCCGAATCCTCTTTGGGGTGGATTGATCTTTCTTCCCAGAACTGCCCCTCCGTCCTGGAACCATGCAGAAAGGGCCGATGGGGCCACCAGAAAACTCCCCCGTGACCTGAGGCGATTCAATTCTGCTTTTACAGTACAGATTCCTTCTCCGGCCTCATTTTCAGAGCAGATACAGAATTTTTATTTTCTCAGTTCCATAGGGCAGCCCTCAATAAAACCTGTTAATGTGTCTTGACCACCTTAGCACCATTTTGGGAAATCTACTCAATTGGGAAGGGCCGCAGAGAACATTAGATAGTATCAACATTAGATACTATCAACAGGAGCCCCTGGTGCTCACAGACCTATTACAGAGCAAATTGACTCCCTGGCGTCTCTGGGGACAGGGCAGTGGTTCCCATCTCTGGGACCTGAGGCTGAGTCGGGCAGTACTTTTAGGAGGATTTAAGAGGAGGGATCAGCTGATTTTTCTTTTTTTCCTGAAATAGCAGAGCAGAAACGTTATTTATTGATCAATGAATGGAGGAGGAAGAGCTCTTGCTCCAAAACACCTTCTCCTCAGGGAAGGTGAGCAGCGTTCTTATGGGATGTGAAGGTAGAACAGTCTCAGCGCCGTTGCTCAGGGTGGGGCATTTGGGGCATGCGTGGATCTTCCGTTCTTGCACATGGCACCTTTTGCACACATTTCCTTTTGTGGCTGGCATCCCATCGCCATCTTGGACCTTTTTGGTTTGGACCCATTCTGTGGTTTGGCCATCTGGCAATGTTCTGCCTCGGTTCCATCTGAAGGCAAAGCGGCCTGGGACCCATCCCAGCCCCTGGCCCTCTAAAGAGCATTCTTCTAGCATGAGGGAACATTTTAGAGCCAGGCATAGAGAACCAGCTTGGGAGTCAGCTCTGGGTTCAAGACCTAGATGTGCCCATTAGAGCTGGGTGGACTGGGATCAATTTCCTACCCTCTGAATCAGGGATTAGGTTGGTCCACCCCTCCCAGGAATGTTGTGAGGATTAGAGGAGAGGCTATCTTTAAGGTGCTTAGCCTGTTGCTTGTCTCTCAGTAAGCACACAGTGAACAGGGGAACCGTCATTGTGACACCCTTTGCCCCCATTTGAGACCAGAGCAATTGGGTTTGAGGGCTGAGCCACTGAAAGGACCTCTGCAAGGGAGCTTCACCAACAGCAGTGCTGGGGAAAACCTCCCCCTGAAGTTACGGGGCACTCGGCCCGAACACTACCTCCCTCTCCTTCCCCCAATTGTCCACATAGCAACAGTCCATCATTCCAGCCTCCATGCTGATATTTGCACTCCAGTTGCAGGATGTTGACCAAACTCCAGATGAGCAGTGAAACTACAGGTCCAAGAGTGTCTCGTTGCAAACGGTTGTAGCATCATGGTTAAGACTGAGTTGGACTTTGAATGTAGACTTGGGCAGGAATCCCGCCCTCCCTTCCCATCTCACCCCCTACTGTCTTAAATGAACATGGCCAACTTAGCCTTTTGGAACCCGCTTTCTTGTTTATACAAAGAAGATAATACCTAATTCAGTGATTGAAAGGACTAAATGAGATCATATTTACATATAAAATGCTTAGCACAGCAGCTGGCAAGGAGTAGGAGCTCAATTCATCACCATTGAATCCAATCCAAAAAATGCTAGGTGACTGCAGTCTTTTTGGTGCATTGAAACTAGCAAGGAGGTTAAAACTGTAATCAAAAGAAAAGCTTGAGATCAGATGCTCTCCAAACAAACACTGGTGGGTACACATCGTGGTTAATAAGGTAACCCTTTCACCCGGCTTATAGAGCTCTGCTCACAGTTTATCTACTTTGCCTATTCGGATTTCTTACCTTATTCATAAGAATTATTTGTGCTGGCCAAGGTGTACACTACTTAAAATTAGTAATTTCATACTCAATTGGCTGCTTCTAGGAAGGATGGGGAAAAGAATCAACCTTTCCATGACCTTAGAATATCACTATGATGTGGGTACTATTGACCCTCTTTTTTAGGAATTAGGAAGACAGGACTAGGATAAAAGTTAAGCAGGTGGGGGAAGCAATAAGCCTCGGGAGTGGAATTTGAAAGCAGGTCTGTCCCGCGAGGCTGCCCATCGTTGTGTCCCCGTCTGCTTGCACTGACTTCTCGGTTTCTCAGGTTTATTCACGAGCGTGCCTTCTAAACAGGGTTCTCAGGAAGCCACTGTTGAACTAATGAAGACCATTTACCGCCATTCGACGGGAATTAGGATATTAGTCAGTTCTGAGGAGTCCGACATTTGGTTGTTCTCTCGCTTTTCCAGCGGTGATAGAAAAGCGACAGCCACTCCATTACAGTGACTACTCAGTCTGCCCGCCTGAAACGCTCCAGGTAGATTAATTGTTCAATGATGATTCACCTTCCTTTTCCTGTTTTGATGGAACACGGAGACTGAAGCATTCCTGTCAGTAAAAAGCTCGAGTTTCCACCCGGCAAATTCGCGCTCTAACGACAGTCTAATTGGGTGACGCGCAGGTGGGATTTCCTGTCGCCATTTTAAGGGATCACAACTCCCCTGCAAGGAAGTGCCCACTCAGTTAAAGGGGCTATGCCAGAAACAAAGAGTAAGCAAAAGGAAGGGAAAGGGCCCAGCTGCCCCAGTGCCCTCCATCCTGCTCCCTCGCTCCTCCTGCCCGCAGGATTTGGAGCGCCCTGGTCAGTTAACCCGGGGGTGGAATACGGGGGGCTCCAGGGGGACGACAGCGGGCTCCGGCCTCTCCGCGCCTAGACGGGCGCGCTCCGAGCTCAGCAAATCCTTCGGGTCGCGTCACACCCAGTCCCCAAAACAGAGCTCCACAGCACAGATCTCGGGGAGGGCCGGCGAAGGCTGGGGGTGCTGGATCCGGAAGAGGGGAGGCGCCTCCCACTGCGGGTGAGGGACAAAGGCTTTCCAAAGGGGACCGCGCCGCGCTCCTCCGGCTGCTTCGGCCCCCTCCCCGCCAGCCCAGGCCGTCTCGATGCCATTCCCGGAGCCAAGGCATCGCTCCATCGCGGCCCGCAGCTCCAGGCGCTGCCAGCGGCTCGCAGGGCTGCGCGTGGACCAGCCACTCCCGCGGCCATTCTCACGCTGCGCCCTTCCCACAATGCAACTCCCCTCGCTCCCCCGGCCCCTGCCGGCTCCGCCGTACCCCAAAATGCCCCCCACCCCAGTGCACAACCCTCTTTTCCTCCGCTTGCACCCTCGTAGCCGCCCCCACCTCCATCCCCACGGGCTCCCAGTCTCCAGCTGCCGCCGCAGTTGAGTTCTGAGCTCGCTGCTGGGCCCCAGGAGGGCGTGGGGCAGGTGTCCAGGCTGCGCACAGCCTTCGCTGCCGGTGCCACCGCCAGTGCGCCAGGCACACGCGCTCCCCGCAACCCCTCCCTCACCCCTTCCCGATGCTCAATCTCCGCCGGCCACGGCCGCTACATCCTCAGCGAGCGGCGAGAGAGAGGCTGCAAGGCGCGGCCGCCAGCAGACACCATGTGATGGGTACGGCTCAGTGACACACAGCTGCGATTAAAGAGCCGGCGCGGGAGGGGAGGCGACGGCGCGCGGACGCGGAGGAATGGCCTGACTTTCCCCGATAAACCATCACGAGCCATGGATGCGCAAGGGCGACGCGCCCGCGAGTAGGAGAATGACTACGATTCGAGACCCTCAGCGCCCAAGCGTGTGGATGTAAGTGGGAGGCTGGCGAGCAGAGTGTGGGTGGGGGTTAGTGGTGGGGGCAGATGCTGATGCAATCGGCCCGAAAAGGAGCGCGCGGGCTGGGGTTGCCACGCCGCTCCGCTTGAAGGTCGCCGCGATCCTCCGCCCTTCACCTTGCTGGGAAATCCGCCACGCCACGCCAAGCTTCCCCGCCCAGCCCTTGCTGACGGAGGCCACCTCTTCCCGGCCGAGGCAGCCAGACCTTGACACAAAGGGCATCGCTCGGCCAGGGGAAAATCCCAGAAGGGCGAACACCCTGACTTTTCCCTTTATTGCCCGAGGTAAGGTGATTTTCGTGCCCACGGAGAGCCGAGGGAGTGGCGGCGGGGAGGAAAGGGATGTTTTAGATGTGAGAGGAGGCGCCAGCGTAGAAGTCGTCCATGCGGGCTCGAAAGGAAGGAAGGAGCGCGCGGCTGTGCCGGATGCATTTTGGTTTTAGGAAAGGAGAAGTCCGGTCTCTTGTTCTTTCCAACGCACGCGGCAGCGTAAGGAGGCGCAGGGGCCCCTGATTTCACCTTTGCGTGGGCTGTGGCTTACTTTTTGGGTCAGTTTTCATAGTGGCAGAGTGTGGCACCAGATATGTTAAACTATACGAGGGGCAGGGACCACGCCGGCCTGGAGGGAGAGCGCAGCCGAGGTGAGGACGCGACTGCATACCCGAGGTGTGTTTGAATCCCGGACATTTGGGGGTAATTCCGTGTGTCTGCAGAGCCCAGAGGAGGGCATGTGATGTCCCCTAGGGTGTCTCGGGGACTGGCCGCCGGCTGGGGAAGGGAGGCACCGAGCGCCAGTAAACTGAAGCACGGTTTCTTCCCCTTCCTGGAGCTCGGCCCCTCTCTCAGTAACGACGAAGAGTAGGACGATGCAGGGGGAGGTTACTAAAGGATGCTGGCTGTGACTCAGTGCCCCTTCTCGGCCTGAAGAGGTTCTTTCCAAAATGAAGAAGGGGAGAAAGAGAGAAGGGCACACTGAGAGTCGGGATCCGCTGGAGCTGGCGAACAAAAGGCCATCGCTCGCGCGGGGCCCGGGCGCGGACTGCCTTCGCCTCCGCTCCCACCCCCTCCTCCCACCCCGGGCACCTCGCTTGCTTCCCTAAACGTCGCCACAAAAGGCCTTTCAACTCGCCGCGTCGGTACCGGGAGGCAAGAGCTCCTTCGTCGTAGTGTGCACCCCGGGGCGCGACCCCCCTTCCATAATCCGCCTTCCCGAGCGTCGGGCTCCTCAGCACCCACTGGGACCCCACAGGTTATAAGACTACCTGGGCGCTGTTCCCTGCGGAACCACAGCCCCGGGGTTTGGGCTAAACTGTAGTCAGAGAAGGTGCGAGTGCATATGGCGGCAAAAAGAATTTCGCGGTCACAGCGTCACGTCGTTTCGGGGTGCCTCTCACAGGCTGTCTTCGGCCCGGGAAGGTGGTGCTAGAATCGAAAGTCCTTTGTGTCTCGCTCTGCGGCGCGGAGCCGGTGTTTATAGCACTGTTTCTCCAGTGCAACCCTCATTGCCGCCGGGATCAGGTACTTTCTCAGACGAGTCCAGGGGGATGGATGGAGGAAGAGCGAAAAAGACCCCAGCGCTAGGAAACGGTATTTATTTGCGTTTGGAAGCGGATTTGACATCTCTGCAGGGGGTTTTAAATTTTTTAATATAAGGGGGAGGAGAGAGTCAATCTATGGTTTGTAGGCTGCAGGGCCTAGCAAGGCTGTAATTTGTCACCTTGATAGAAGAAACTGTGCGGCAACTCGTGCTTCTGACGTCAGAAGGACAACGGAAATAAAACCTGAGCTAGGTGGCCGGCTGGCCTCGTTCTTAAACATCTCACGCTCGGTGGGTACTCCAGAAATCCATGCAAGACGGCCAAGGGTGGCCACTGATCCCGTGTGGGCCCCCTCAAAATGGCTTTACCCTTCAGAGTCACTTTAGTTCTCAGTATGTCGCCTCAGGCATCCGGAAATCCGCCTGGTTTGAAGTCTTAACCTTGATGAGGTTTATTCAGTTATTTTTTTTTTTCAACGTATTCAGTAAGTGTTTCCTACTGAGAGCTTGATGTGTGGCAGGCAGCCAACAAAATAAAGTTCGTGCTTCTGTGACACTTCCATTCTCCTGGGGAAAAGAGTACCTGCACGTTCAGTTGAATTTGAGGTATCTGTTAGTGCAGTGAAGAAATAAAACAGAATTTTGCCATGGGGAGGGTGCTTGAGAGAGATGACCCTCTGGGCAGGCCTGTGTGAGGGGGTGACATTTGTCCTGAGGCTAGGAGAATAGGCATTTGGCTATTGCTAGTCTTGTCTTTTCCTCCTTCTGGGGGATAAGACTTGAGGGCAAAACCCAGTCTTACTGGTTATTGTTCCCCTAATGCCCAACACAGAGCCGCTGCTTGATAAACGCCCGTCAGATTGAGATCTTGGCCAAGCCACATTGTTCACCTCTTTATGCTATTGTTGCCATCCTTTCCTGTCTATGTCTCGTTATTTGTGCCCCTTCTCCTAAGTTGAAACAGTAGGGTTTTTTCCTACTCTGCTCCTTTTTCTCTCTTACCCTCTCCCTCCACTCCTGAGCAGTTACCAGGCCTTTGCAAATGCTCCTCAAAGTTGCCTTCTCATCTTCACTCCCACTGCCCAAGTTCAGGTCCCTGTCACCTGACCTAGACATGGCAATTCAAGTAGTGCATTGAGATACAAGAATCATGAAACAGACATGGAGGTGTCCTGAGGAAACCAGCGCTCAGGGGAGGAAGATGCAAGCGCGACACGTGGTTAAGAGTGAAGAAGCCGGTTAGTGAGGCATGTAGGCTTTCTGGTTGGTCTCCTCCATACCAAGGTCTGCTCCCCAAGTTCAATATTGACACTTGCATGAGATCTGTTTTTCCAGAACGCAGTTCACATTTTTCCATGACCTTGCTTTTAAGTACCTTTAGTGTGTTCCCATTGCCTTCATTAAAGTCTAAAACTCCTCAGCCAGACACTCAGGGCCCTCCACAGTCTGTCTCCTCGCCTCTTACCCTCTCCTCTTATCCTCTCTTTCTCCCAGTTCACCCTATGCCCTCCCTGTCACTTTTCTGCTTCAATATTGGTGTTGATTGCAGACTGGAATGTCTACTGAAATCCTATATATTTGTGAAGGCCTGGCCCAAACATCACTTCTCTACCTCTTCAAATTAGTGTTTGCTGATCACCTCTTGGCATTTTCATAATGATTTATCTTTCACTGTTTGCACTATTGTCACTCCTGATGATGGAAAGTGGAGAATAATGCCATAGGCTTCAAATCAAATGTAAATCCCAGGTCTCAATTTACCAGCGGGAGGGGGGAGGGAGTGGGGGGAGAGGGGGTGGTGGGACGGGACCTTTGACAAGTTGTTTAGCATTGCTAAACCTCAGGGGTTTTTTTAATTGTTAAATGGAAATGATGATGGGAATGATGATGATGGTCGTGGTAGTGGTACTCATCTTATTGAGTTATCCTGAGGATTTCATTAAGATAATGGATGCAAAGTGCTTGGCATGGTGTTGCACTCCACATATATTGAATTAAAGAGACTTCAGGTTTCTCCTCTATCAGAGAGGGTGAGGAAAGTAGGATCAGTAAAGCTCCCCTTACCTCTGATATTCTGTAAATATGTAAGCATTTAAAAATACTTTTCTGAAAATAATATCTTAATGGAAACTCTCTGAATCTTTTCAGGCTCTGGGAGAATATGCAGCTCTGAAAGGAAGGGTTGGGGTAGGGGAATCATGTCAGCACATTCAAAATTGCATCGTAGACTTCAGAAAATGACACCTTGGAACACTACCCTGAAATTGAGTCTTCTAAAAACATGGTTATACTTATTTCTGAAATATGATCTCATTATATTCCTTGGTTTTCTAGAGACCACCTGTACGTTAGACTTATTAACTAACAGTAAAGGAGTTCAGTGACTGGGAAGGCACCATGGTTTGGGGAAACTTTGCAAGCCCCAGAACTCTGCCTCAAGTGAAGTTACAATGTCTTTGTCAATAATTAGCTGGGTGCGCTTGAGAAACTCATTTAACATCTTCATGCCTCATTTTCTCATCTGTCCCATGCTAAGCATAGTGTCTGAGCTGCTGAACTCACAGAGTTGTGAAGATACAATGAGAACAGAGCTAAGAAAATCCTTGAACAAGTTAAAAGAACTATTCCAGATGATAAGCATCTGGAGTTAAACTCACTGCTAATCAGTAGGTTTAGATTAGTGATTCTCAACTCTGGCTTCACATTAGACTCACCTGGGGTCTTTTACAAGCTACCAGTGCCGAGACTCCATGTCCAGAGAGTCAGATTTAGTTGGCCTTGGGTAGAGCCCAGATATGGGAATTTTTTCAAAAAAATAACACGAGGGATAATTCTAATATGCAAACACAACAAAATCAGAAATCAAATCAAGACCTCCATATGTTGTTTGATAAAGTCCTAGTTACGCAAAATTGTGAGCTTGAGTGACTTTTCTTCTGATTCGACTAAACCAACCGGTTGTTGACATCATGGAGTCACAGCCTCAGGTTACAATTTCTAACCTGAGTTTTCCCAGACGTAGAAGACTGCCCAGAGATACAGCAGGGCCGCATAAAGATTTAATGTGCGGATCTCACTTTCCATCTCTTAGGAGTGACGAAGAAGATTGGAACAGAAAGAGACAATGGAAAGGAAAAGGAAAGGGACAGGCTGTGGCCCCAGGTATGGGAGGAGGGGGCTCTGAGTGGGACAAGGATAGGACAGAGTAGAGAGAAAAAGTCGAGTTGGATTTATTGAACTGGTTTTGTTCATGTTGCAGACTGGTGGCTATAGAACCAAATGAAGCCTACGGGTATATATTGCGTGACCTACACTTGCTTTTAAAATTGTTTGAAATTAATTGTCAACATTTAAATATCAGAATTTTACTTAAAATTCCAGCATTTCTTGAAACAAAAATCAAAAGATCTGGCTTATTCCTACTGAGATAGATGGGA